ATTTGATAAAATTCTCGAAACTAGTTCATTTTGATCAAATTGTATCCGCAAATTATGTTAAATTCTTAAGAAGCTTTGTGTTATAATAGTGTAGTTACGTTATTAGGACCTAAATTTGTGGCCATTGTCTACGTAGCACACGTTCAGCTCAACCAAATAGAAAAGAAAACACGTTCACATAACCCAATAGAAAAGAAAGGAGCACAAATCATTAACTTACCCCCAAAGTTTGACTACGGGCAAGCGCACGTTCATACAGCTCAACCAAATAGAAAAGAAAGGAACACAAATCATTAACTTACCCCATAAGCTTGACTACGGCTCAACCAAATAGAAAAGAAAGGAACGCAAATAATATCGCAAGTGTATGCATCTGTACATTATATAACTAAAAAAATAATTCAGGATCGTATAATCCTACATGAGGTCTCACATCAAATTATAGTTTAATGAGATGATTCACATATATTTCTTTGCATAACATAATGTAAATTCCTTATAAGATAGAACGTACATTTTCATGGTATTTCAAGCATACTTGTAACACATCTTACATTATGGTGTCTCACAAATCATATACATGACCATAAGAGTTGTGAACGAGGACACATGGAAACACATTGATAAGATAAGGAATCAATACAAGAGGAATAAGATTCGGATTACCTTGTTGATCGAATATCTAAAGGCAACAACATTGTTTGAGATTCGAATCACTCTACAAGCAAGATCGATCATGTCTAGCTTGAATGATTCTTGTTGATCAAATATCTCAAGGCAAGAACACTTGATTGAGATTTGAATCACTCCACAAGCAAGATTGATCATGTCGAGCTTGAATGATTCTACATGCAACCTAAACTACATAGAATTGCAGAGAAGCTTAGCCATTGGTTAAAGAAGAGCACAAATGATTCTTTTACTATATTTTTCAAGTCTACTTACAAATACAACCTACATGGCTCTATATAGCCTCAAGATGAAACTATTAAAAGCATTTCAAGAGTCATAACATTCATACTTAATGGTCATAGTTAACCATTATGTAATTGTAACCTAAAGTAAATAAAGTCTTAAAATACATTAATGAAATACAATAACTCTAAATTGTAATCCACCCAAAATTTATAACATGAAACTTCATTCTTTTTCAACGTGGCATGAATTAAAATATCTTTTGATAAATTCAACAATATTTTCTTCACATCTCTCTTGGTTCATATCACACATACAAGAAATAATCATACAACATCATAACAATTCAATAACGTGTAAATAAAAGTGATACATGTTATTCATTCATCAATTAATTCGATTGAGCCTAGTTTAGAGACATTTCAATAGTGAACTTAATTGGGGTATAAGTTTAATGCAATGTTCTTAAGCTTCCGACCATCATCTAAGCTTATGAATGAGATACGGAATCAATGACATGGTTTGGAAGCGGTTGAAAGTAGGGCGTTGTGGTTGTTGTGATACTCGATCGGCGACTGTAAGGCTTCACTAATTGAGTTAGGGTTTGGCTTTGGCTCTGATACCATGTTAAGAATGAGAAATAGAATTGGGACTGAAGGTGTGTATTCTCATTGATATTCATAACGTTTAAATAGGATACAAGCTACCAATTAATACCTACCAATAAGGAAAATATAAACTGAGAATGAAATAAAATATCAAAGAATATTGAGTATGTAGTCAATCCTATTTACGATAGGAGCAGGTGACAATTAAATCCATCTGTAATAGTGCGAGAATAAGGAAGGCCCAATTTCGAGTTGTTCAAGAATAGTGGCGTTGAGTTTCTCGCCTCTTTGCCTTAGGATTAGTCAGTTTTATTTCTCGATGGAGGGATATAACTTAGCGGTAGAGTATCACCTTGACGTGGCGAAAGTCATTAGTTCAAGCTTGATTATCCCTAAACTCAAAGGGATATAACAGAATGAAAAGGGATAAGAAGCTTGTGGGATTGACGTGAGGGGGAAGCTAAGAGACCGATAGTTTACGAGGGAGAGGAGCATCATTTATTTATAAATAGAGAGCACTCATAGTACGATGGAGACAATCGAGATTTTGACTGACTTCTCTTAAACCAAGATATTCGAAATAGAAATTTTCGAGAAACTTATTTCCTTCCAATAACAGGATTTTGAAACCGAAATGAAGAAACAACACAAGCCGCCATACATCCGAGGGTACTGCTTTAACATCCACTTTGGTTTCGTCCCGTACTTCTCCTTGACGAGCGAGTAGAATTTTAGGAATGGAGAAGCCCGTCATAGGAAAGAAAGACTATCACTGCAAAATAGACTATTTTCGATGAACCCGAATTGGTACCATATTGTAAATGCTCAAATTTTGGGATGAACACCATGAATATACCCATTTTACTATCTTCCTTAGTAGGACTGGTTTCGGCAGCGGATTCAACAAGCCTATCATTTTGGAGACTTGACCAAATAGAGAGTTAAGAATATAATTTCACGAGATAGAATTCATTCATTCCCATACGGGGTTAGTAGATAAGTAGTTCTATTAAGCAATGATTTTAGGACTTCACAATGGTCAACACCTTCTCACTAGACCGAGGCAGACTTAATTTATAGTTGGATATTGAACCAATTGTTCTCGGTATAAGATGTAATTATAAGGGTACAATAAACTTCTTTTTTTTTTTACTCAATTATAATTACGAACAACTCGTGAAAGGTCAACTTATTTGTAGTAATCATATCCATGATTACAACTTGTCCAATAGTACATAAGAATTCAACTATTCGGAGTAACTTACAGTTAATGAAGGAATATTTATTAACTAAATAATTTTGGATCATTAGGACTTGTAATCTACCGTTCCATAAGATCTTCTTGCTAACTCGATCAATTTAGTTAAAAAAAAAACTAACTTTTAATTAATATTAAATCAAATTAATATTTAACATATTAGTTATCTTTTATTTATTTATATATATATATATTAGGGGTGTACATGGTTCGGGTTGGTTGGGTTGGAAATTTTTTTTGATAAACTCAAAAGTTTGGTTGGATTGGTAACCTAACCTAACTTGAAACTTTTCACAACCAGACCAAACCTTACATTTTTGGGTTGTCAATTTTTTTTTGTTAAGTTAACACAAATCAATCTATAATTATTCAAAAAGAAAAAAAAAAAAAAA